TGCATGGGGCATGGAAAGTGCCAGATTGGACAACTTCAACATACTGTCACAGTTGGACAAGAAGAAGACTCAAGAAACGTCCCCAACTAGATGAATGACTCCTGCCATCTCCCAAACAAAATACGCCACTCATCATCATCTCAGTGGTCGGTCATGCGAAACCGTCCGAGCTCTTAGGAGCTGTACCCACAACGTCTGCGGTGAGGTCCTTCTCCCAGAAATTCCGTTCATCCTCTTCAACGTCTTGGGTGACGTCCACGACCGGTTCCTGGGAACCAGGCGCCATGCGAAAGCTATGCTGAGACGCTTGCTGAGACGATGACCAGGTCAAACGAAAGCTGGTCTGTCTGCCCGAACATCACAGTTTGGGCCTCCAAATTGGATTCGTTCTACTTGCCCAGAGCCCCTTAAAGCCTTAACTGGACACTGGACGCCCCTTCACCTCTTTTGGGAGCTCTGAAGAGACACCCCAAACAGGCACCTCTGGCCTTTGGCCATTCAGCCCAAACGCCGGAGTCCGTGGAACAGGTTTCTCCACCCCGCGCCTTCTCGGGTGGCAGTGGACGGCAAATATCCACCAAGTCCACCTGAAAAACTGAGACGCACCGCCGCGTGCGGCGACCCTTCCGAGCGATGATTCGCCGCACGGGCAACCCAGGCAATCATACTCAAGTCATCTCAAGTCATACCTCATAGCATCTCTGATGCATTCCTGATGTTCCAAATTTGTTCCAATATCTCATACCAGCTGATGCAATATCAAAAAGAGAACATCCTGTCACATCTTCACCTTCGGCTTGTACCCATTTCCATCAGGCCACAGTGTAGCTGATGGTCTCCCCGGGGGGGATGTAAGGCGGCACGCCGTCCTCACCTCAGCTCTGAGCTGCGGTGCGGGATGTGACCATGCTCCGAGTGATGGGCCGCCAGGTCTGGCAACTTTGCCAGGCCACATGATAAACACTAGGTGGCAAGTCAAGACGACAAAACTACATCTGCAAGCTAGGATGAAAAAATTAACTTACTCTTAAATAACAAATAATTAATACTGATGTGATTCCCATAATTCCTAGACTTGTTTTTGCCTGTTCGCAGTGGGATGCAAGCAGGGCGGCCAGTATAGTCTGTGTGATGAAAGCTGGACAAACCATCAGTCAAATCACATGCCATGCACTATCTCTGCAGCTGTGCGTCCGTATGCATACTGCGGGGGGCAGGTCAACTCTGCCTTCTCCTTAGCTATGCACGTAAAGCGAATGAAACTCGCCAGCTTAAGCCTGTCGGCGTGTGAACCTCGAACGGAAGAGTGGGTGGCCAATACAGTCATTGGGTCAACGTTCAACGTCTCATCCAAACATTCTTCCGAACCCATTTCCTCCATCCCATTCCTGCATCATGACATCATGACGCTCAAAAAACACACGACCTGTGGCCTGTGGGTTTCGGAAGCCATGTGTGGCCAGGCGTCTTGGAGCCCCATTTTGCTGATCAAAATCTCCCAGGCATCAATGACCTGCGCCACTGCGCCCTTAATGAGACTAGTGATCCACGAGCTCTCGCAGCCTTCTTGCAACTTGATCTTGAACTGGAATCAAAGAGGCATGAATTCATACCCAGTCTCCTAGAGAAACCTGGGGTTTGATGAAGAAACAGGAACCCAAGATAAAGACTCTACCCTACAGGTCAAAGACCTCATTTGACTGGATCCGGTCATGCAAAGCCAGTACTCAATGAGGTCAAGGACCAGGTTAAACTTGGCCTTTGGACTTGTAGGGCTAGGTCTGATAAAAGGTTAAGTTATATTGGTTTCTTCACCACTTCTGACAGCCAGACCTGTTCTGCCAGGTGGGCAAAACAACCAGACCTTTGGAACCTGCTCCAGGTGAACGGAGCACTGCCGGCCGCTCCGGTGAACTGCCACGTGGTATGTGTTAGGTATTAGGAGCTCATCTCACTTCATCGTAAGCTATCACAGAATTCACGAAAGCCTCCAAAAAAAGGTCCGGAGCCTCAAACAACCTTCAGCCCTTTTACACCTTGTACACCCCCCAAAGGGGAGCCCGCCCTGTTCGGTGCGGCTTCTCTTCGCTGCGGCGGTCCAGTGCCCAGAACCTCGGACTCGCCCAGGATGAACTCGAAGGGCTTGCCCCGCGTTCTCGAGTTGTCGAAGCAGGTGCCATCCGACAGGCGGCCCACGTAGTGGATCCTCACGGAGAGCGGAGGGAAGAAGACGACCAGGGGCGGCGGGGCGGCCAAGGAAAGGGAAGACGATATGAAGTGTGAAGATGAAGCGAAAGCAAGCCAGGAGGTTTGAGGGTAGCGAGAAGGATAGAGCAAGATATGAAGTTCTGTCAAGTTTTGCTGAATTAGTCTGTTAATGTTGTGTGAATGGATCCTTGTAAACACATGGCCAAAACCTTGCAACTGCCACTGCCGGCCATTTGTGCCCTCTTCCTCTTCCTCTTCCCTGCGCTTGTGTCGACCACGCGACCGACCCGACCGACCACGGCCCGGTCTTCACGAGATCGCCCGCGCTGGGCATGTCATCCGGATAGGGCGACTCCCGGAGCACGCCTGGGGCGAGGGCGGAGGCGGGTCGCGGAAAATGAAGGCAACGATTCAATACACCCTTTTCTCACATTCATGGTCCGAAGGAAACGTTCTTCTCGGGGGACGATTTTAAGAAACAAAAAAACATGATTCAACATGTGATTCTGGGGGGTGTGCATTCCCTTGCCTTCCTACTAGTAACTAGTACTGACAGTTGCTTTCTTGCGTGTTCCTATTACGGAATATTTGGGGATCTTGACTGCTGGGAGAGGACATCATCCGGAAGAGACCTGGGAACCAGACCCTGCGACTGGATCCATCGTGCCGGATGAATGTTTGAGACTGCGTTTGGAACAGTCCACACACCAAAAAAAAGACACCAAGGAGCTGGTCAACCAAGCGATGACATCCTCACACTTCATCCAAGATCATCTAAGATCCAAAGTTTGATCACCAGACTGTAGTCATTGCCAGGGTGAAGTGGCACACGTGCATCATTTTGACTCTTCGTCCAAGCCACGCTTTTCCAGGCGCGAGGAGCTCCAGCTGCGCCGAGCGACCGCCAGGGACCTGGCGTCGGACGTGGCCGAGAATAGGAACAGGAAGACCCCTGACCTCATTCTTCTTGCCTCCTAAAACAAGTTGTTTAAAGTTCAAAGCCCAACAGTTCTGACAATTGCAACGCTTTGAATAGTTTGCTGTATGCACACAATGTTGTATCAATTCTCTATCATTCTATCATTCTCTGTCCATCTTCCATACATAGATGCTACATCGCTTCCCGAATGAAACTTGTCTTTCTCAAAGCAAGCCAGCAGGTGCTTCCTTGAATTGCGCAATGTATCTCCTTCTCTCATCCCCTCTCCCTTTGGCTGCTATTGGTAGTGAATTTAAAGGGGACTATGGCTACCTCCCAACTCCGAATATGGATACCTCCAGCACCCGGTCCCGCAAATCAGGCTGTGCCTGGCATATCCAAAGACACCACCAATCATCACGCCCATGCTCCTTGGCGTGCAGGAAATGAGTCTGTTTGTTGGAAAGTGTCTCAAACTATCATGCAAACCTGCATGTGACGTGCTTACCGCTTCCCACTTCTGGGGTCAAGAGGGGGTCTATATATCTGTTGTGAACACAACGAAGGAGGAACACACGTGGATTTACACCAGCTTGCCGGTGGCAAATGGTGTGTACCGTCCAAACAAGGTGCAACATCTGGACCTTACATCTGGCTGACATCGGCAGTAGCTTGTAATTGCTCAGGTTCTCATGGTTCATCCTCAAAATAGGGTGCCTGAAACACCGATGCTCTCTCCATCTTCCGAAAACCACATCCTGCTGAGTCTACCCGTCCAAGTCTCAACTCCACCCGCCGCGGCTTCCGCCCAGATCCAGCGGACCTCGCCAAAGCCACGGACCCCGCGGTCGCGGGCGGCGCGTGGGGCCGCGGCGCGCGCCACGGCGCGTGGATCGAATTGAGAGCCATGGCGTGGTCCGCCGTTAGGCGGAGCGTGGAAGTGGCGATGGACAGCCGGAGGTGAGGCTGGGTGAGGCTGGGTGTTTCAGTGGATCTTCACCTGCGAAAATGCCTGATGGGCTGATGGCTGAAGGTGAGCGTCGTGATGAGGTAAGTCTGCGAGGGCGCAGAAACAAGTTCCGTGAAGCTCTTGGAAAAGCTGTTATTCCCATGAGTGGCTTCGTCTTACACTGCTCTGCCTGCTGGTGTGGCATACCTTGCTTGTCAGGACAAATCTTAGCTGAAACTGATTTGTGTTCGGCGTTGGCTCGAGAATCGAGCATTATAGACTCTGAGCCAAAAGCTCTGAAGTAAAATGTTCTACTGCCCGTCCCTCCCAAAGGTTCCTCTTCTTGAACAAAGATGTCCTATCCACCTCTGCTTCCTTGCACGGAAGGTCTTGAGGCTTTAGACCATGACCATCTGCTTCCAACCACCCCAAGATATGGCTTTGGGCATAGCCAAGTAGGACTAGCGGATTTCTACATATTTCTATATAGTCCAAACCAACCTAAACCCCGGCATACGTCTTAACTCTGTGAATCCTGCACCTCCAAAAGCCGCAACAGACTTTTAAGCTTAGAACAAAGAACACCATGATTCACCCGATCCACACCGATCTCTGTGTGCAAAGGATGTTCAAACAGTTTGTTTTGCCACCGCCACGAGTCGGCGGACAGGCAGGACACTTTTTAACCCCACCCGAAATAGTCAAGACCGGGTGTGGACCGTTCAAACACGACCACCACTGTAGACTCTTGATTAATAAATACCCCTCTTCTGAAGTGCAAATTCAATTGGCGGGGTACTAGTACAGGGCTCTAAACGAACACCAAAAACAAGGCCACAAAAACCCAGGTGTAAGCCTTTTAGAACCCTGTAGGATGGTGGGGGTTATAAATCAAGAGTCTGCATTACCATCTGGGCCCAGCACTCAAAGCTGCCACCAGCGCCCACTGTGCCCGCGAAGTTGCAAGCCGCTCGCACGAGCTCGTGCAGCTCCGTGCAGCACGTGAAGCTGGAAGGCGGGCCGCCGGGTACCGGAGCGAGGGCACCTGCCGGAGTAACCAATGAAAGCTCAAACGGGTAACCACTGACCATCCACGGACCAAGATCAGGGTGACCAACTTAGTAACATAGGCTTGGTCAGGTGATTGGTCAACTGGAGATTGGTCAAGTCACAAATATTCCAACTTTCTCCAGTTGACCAATCACCTGACATAGCAGCTTGATGGACCAAAACACGGAAAGCCGCCACACATTTTCCACTCTCAGGACCTCAGGATGCAATCATCACATATCATCACCAACCATTAACCATCATTAACCTACCAGTCCAGCACGGTTGGGTGAAGCGGCCTAGGCCTAGCGGCCTAGGGTGTGGCGCAGGAAAGCAGGCAACAGCCGGGTCAAAGATCATTACCCATAGTCTCCATGGGACTGCCATATATGCCGATCAGTTGGGGTGGTATGCTTGTGGGTCTCTGACCCCCCCATGTACCGACCCGGTCAACTCCGCATGCTCCGTTCATCTTCGCCTCGGGTGTCCGGATCGCCGGTCGTTGGAAGGGCCGCGGCGACCACTTCATGAGGGCGACCAGGGCGCGTGTGGGGGGATGTCAGGTTGGGTAGGGGCTGGCTGTGTACTCTGTGTGCAGACTGCCAGTGGGCATGGCACCACTGTTTCTGTTGGCCACAGGCCGGATGGCCCGTGGTAGTTTTGCGAGCGCCGATGCATCAAAAGTGGATGAGCTACCAAGATGTGCACGTTGTTCCAGCGACACCATCACGGGCAGGGCCACGTTGCAGCGACTGCCGGGGTGGCATGTGAAGCTGGTTAGTTCCCTTGTTCCTAGTAAATAGTTTGTTTGTTGGGCATGCTTGCTTGTTGGATTGTGTGTCAGGCTTGCTTGGTTGTTTGTTCCTAGTAAACTAGTTTGGCATGCTTGCTTGTTGGATTGTTCATCACAATCATGCTCACTTGTTGGATTGTTTATCATGCTCGTCATTCTTGCTTGCTCTCTTGTTCATGTTCTGCCCAAGAGCCACGTCACTATTCGCAAACTGCCGGCCACTCATTGAAAAGGCCATACCAGGTCCCAGCCTTCTTCCACTTCCAGCATATTTACGCTATTAAGGCGGTGTTTTTCGCTATTAAGATCCGATTTGTTCCCCGCTATGTAAAACAAAGAAAAACCGTGTTTCGTGACTAAAGTCTCTGTTTCGCTATTAGAGGGTACCCTGGACATATGCATGTCAAAATGTCCAAAGTTCCCTTCGTGGCAAGGATGACACGGGTCGGTTTCATGAACGGAGGGAGGGGTCGATGCCATAGACCTCTTGCGCCAGTTTCACGGAATGATCCCCTCAGCCTCAACACAACCAGAGTCGTTTAGACCATCTATGGGACACACAACCAGAGTCGAGCAATTGGTGGCAGGGAGCGAGGTGGTTGTTTGATTTTTGAGCCAGCTCCAAGTCCGCTGTGCTGTTCTGCCTGCGGATTCCTTGCATGTTGTCATCCAAGCAAGTCCATTCAGGAGGGACAAATGGTAACAGCACAACTGATCATCATTCGATCAATGACCGGAACTAGAAGAAGAACTGGACAGGATTGACAGGATCCACATCCTTTCTTACGTTGGGTAGGCTCTATGCTTCCCTGTGCATTCCTGACGTTTTTGCCCCTGGCAATCTTATGTTCCCTTTACACTTTTGACTTGCTTGCAAGGTCCATTATCTTAGAAGTTGCATTCGTTTGTCAGCACATAGCAAACAGCATAAGGATGCATCACGCCTAAACCAACTGAACATAACAAAGAAACACCCCAACCTTGAACCAGAATATATAATTAGTAAAAACAAAAAAGCATGATCGATGCTCAGACCGGCCGTTTTCCGACATGTCTGCAACCGTCACCGATGTTGTTGCCAGCCATTTAGCCCGCTGGAAAAGGTGACAGATGGCCACAAGAGAGTGGGCCGGATCCCGCCATGCTACGCATGAATTGTCACAACCGCCACATGCGAAGACTTTGGCATGTGAGTTGTCTCCAAAAAAGTTATTCCTTCTCCGGGTCAACGTCACCCAACGGCAAGGCCTCGGACATCGCTAAGGTTCTGGGTTGCAGTCACATACACCCGATGAGTGGGTTGGTTGGGGCTGCCACAAGTAGGGATGGATACTATCCCCTAGCCATACACTTCATGTATGTAGTATATGCCTACATGGACCCCCTAGACCACCCCAACTGGGGCTATGTTTGGTATGCGATTTTGTGGAGCCCACATTGGAATCCCTCCCTCCTCGTTCCCAATTACATTGGTGTCCCTAGGTGCCCGAAGTCAATCTGATATATATGAGATGCTCAGAAACTCGTGAAGATATGTGCGCAACCTACTAGTCTTCAGCACGAACGAAGGGGTCAGCGACGGTCGCGTATCCCTCTAAGAAACAGATCAAAGAGCTTTGGCCACCTACAGTGCAGCACCAGTTCAGCACCAGCTTCACAGTATCAGTGCTGATCCGCAATGGGTTCTTCGACTTCAGGCAGCCCCCATCGAAAAAACAAGAGTTCCACCACTCCGCTCCCCGCTCCGCTCCTCTCCCCGTAGCTCGCCGAGCGGCGCTCCGCGACGCGAAGCTGGGCGTCAGGGTGTCGACCTCCACACCCGCCCCCCAAACGCGCCGACGTGTGCGGAGGACGGGCTCCCAATGGCACCGAGGGGCACCCACGAATCGGCTCTCCAAGATGGAGACGGTGGAGTTCATGACAGCGCAGAATTTGGGGTGAGGCTGTTGGGTGGTTCCTTCAATGTGCTTTCCGTCTTTTCCAAGTGCCTCCAGGACAAATGCTGCGAACCGTAAATCATCGGTGATAGTCATTCATCCTACAATAGAATAGGGGAGGATCCAAAACGACCAGAAGAAATGGAAAGGTACAAAGCAGCCATCAAATCGCCTGGTGCCACCTGAGAAATGTTGATTGACATGGGGACAAACACTCTTCCAGAAACCACTCCAAGCACCTCTTGAAGTCTTGGCAACTCGTCGCCGTAATAGTAACACCGACCCTACTACAGTAGAAGACATATGATGACAAAATGATGGGAATCCTTCTGAATGAAATTGCACGGATGTTATAAAGTAGCCAGAGGGTCCCTTCACGTTGTCCATCATCAATTGACCTTCCCTCGATGCCCTCAACGACCAAACGACCAAGAAATGATCCCGCTTGTTCATCACATCCTCAACCAGGGCATCCTGTTTGCTTCATCTTTGATCGGTAACAAATACTAGCAAGAAAAACGTCAACCCGCGTCAACCTGTGGCCGCATGACAGAACGATGCAAAAAGTATCAAAAAAAAAGATTCAAAAAGTAGATGAACAATCTGGGGTCAAAAGAAACAAAGAAGCTTTGATTGCTGCTCGCCACCTCTGAAGAAAGGCCACCCTCCCCTTTCGCTCCGCTGCCAAGCCGAGCTGCCGTCGACCGTAACTCGGCGTGGAGACCGTGGTGACTCGACCGTGAGAAGCTCGACCGCAAAGAGGCCGTGGCGGCCGTGGCCTTCGTTGAACACAGCAGGCCAACAGCAGGCCAGGACCAGGTGGATGTGCAAAGACCCCAGAAAATCGATGCAGCTTTCAACGATGTTCACCGGCGGCGGGAAAGACCTCTCCTTGAGAAAAAACACAGCGGCTCGTCAAAATGGGGGAGTTCCTTTCAGATTCGGCAGCAGCTAGATTCAGCTAGATGGTGCACTCTCGGTGGTTGGTTTTTTCATTGGTTGGATTGTTGGACAACGGAGCGTTGTAAGGCTTGCGCAAGCAGTTGCTTCGGACAACGTCTCTTGGGCCTGAGAATCCTTGCGTTTCATGCAAAATCACCCTGGAAGGCTTATACCAGTACTATAGAGGTTGCCCTCAAAAAAAAGATAAGGAGATCCACACCAGTGGCCTTGGACCTCTTCTATCACACTCGCGCAAACATCTCCCAAAATCTGTGAGAGTTCTCGCTGGCCAAATCAAAAAAAAGGCTTTGTGCCTCTTCTGGGGTTCTTCCCTTGCTCCGACTAGGCGTTCCTCTCGGGTTCCAACAGCCTCATCTGCGCGAACAGCCACTGGCTCTTCCACAGCTACTGGCTCTGCCACAGCCACAGGCTCTGCCACAGACCTGGCCTCGTTGGGCATGCGAACGCTTTGGTCTGGAGGAGCGTCGTTTGGTCTGAGCCATGCCTTGCCTGTGGGACGTCCCTTGTCAGCCGAGGGGTGTCCATGGGCGCCCACGGCTGGATGAGGGGCGCAATGGACCGGGAACTGTTCACCTGGAGGGCGGCAGCCGATGCAGAGAAAGCATCCACGGGTTATCCAGGAAGGGACTCATACCCCGCGAATTCGCGAACGACCTTTTTGACAAACCACCCACTTCAAGTGAATTTTTGGGGAGATTGCCCAAAACAAAGTCTGACTGAGTCTGGGATAAATCTGCCACAAATTATGAGTCGTACAGTATATGTACGCGACACCGGATGGAAAATGTTGTATGTTTTCCATCAAAAGTAAAGATCCACATAGTCCCTGACCAGGTCTGTTCTCTCAAAGGCTGTAGTATTATGACATACAGTTGGATCCCTACGGGTATGAAAAACATCCAAAAGAACGTTCCAAAAAGGGGCCTCTTCTCTTCTTAGACTCAAAGAGATGGGCTTTGCAAAGTTTATTCACATCCACCGCCTATTAGAACCCAGTTGATTCAAGGCAGCTCCAGCCTCTCCTTCCCGCTTGGCCATGACGCCGCGCCAAGCAGTCACCTGGATCGGACGAATGGGCCGTGGCTCAAAACCAACGAAACGACCACGTGGTAGAAGCACAAATGACACGCCCTCATTTTCAGAAACAACAGACTTTTCTCAGCCACCTGCCGTGTGACTCCAAGATTCAGATTTCTACAGATATACAGTATATACAGTATACACTCTTGAAACGCTCGCTAGTTGCATCCAGCTTCTAGCGGAAATACGCATTGGATGGACATTCTCCGGTGCAATGCAGGATCAAAGGTTGCTGAGCCCAACCGTGTGGCAAATCTGTTCAAAAGCATTGCCGGCCTCTCGAAAATGGCTGGCAGCCTGAGGATCCTTTGGGTTTTTGTCTGGGTGCCATTTCAAGGCCGCTTGCCGGTATGCTTTCTTGATGAGCTCAGGATTCATTGTGCCGTTTGGCAAGCCCAAGATTTTGTAGTCTTGGTGAAGCGGACAAAGGAGCTCCGCAAGCATCCTCTTTTCTTTTTCTTTCCAGAAATTCTGCCGCGAGTCTGCGAACGTTCTGTCAGGTTACGGCTTCCAGTTGAACTCACGCCGAAAGCCATCATTGCTCCCTGAAGGTTCCGCACCCTGGAAGGCTCGGCTGGGTCCTTAATCACCACCCCACTGGGTGCTCGAGCTTCAACTTTCCATTGGGCCAAATCCAAGTGACTGTGCACTCAATCCACATGGAAAAAGAGCGGCTGTAGTATTCCACCTGCTCTCCCACTTGGAAGTCTGACATCCTGTCACTGCTGTCCGCCCATGACTCCTCACCCTTGCTTG